AAGGATATCAACAGATTTCTCAGCAGAAACCTCACAGGTGAGGAGTGAGACGATATATTTAAAGTGCTGAAAGAAAAGTACTGCCAACCAAGAATACCTTACCTGGCAATACTGCCCTTCAGAAATGAAGGAGACATAAAAACTGATAAGGCTGAAGAAGTTCATGACCACTAGATCTATCTTACAATAAATGGCAATAGAATTGTTAAACCATGAAGCCCAAAGTTAGCAGAAGGAAGGAAATAATAAAGATCATGGCAGAAATAAATGAAATACAGAATAGAAAAACAATAGAAAAGGTAAACACGCAGTTGGTTTTTAAAACAATTTAAAAAATTGACAAACCTTGCACAGGACTAACGAAGAAAAAAGACACATGACTTAAACAAATTATAAATATATAAGGACACATTACAACTGACACCATAGATACCAAAAGGTCATAAGAAATGACTGTAGGGAATTGTATGCCAAAAAATTATATAACTTAGAAAAAAATGAATAAATTCCTAGAAAACTACAACTTGCCAAGACTGAATCATGTAAAAACAGAAAACTTGATCACACCAAAAATAACTAAGATGATTGAATCAGTTATAAAAAGCTTTCCAACAAAGAAAAGCCCAGAAATAGATAGCTTCACTGGTGAATTCTAACAAACATTTAAAGCATTAACACCAAGTCATCTCAAACTCTTCTGAAAAGATGAAGTGGAGCGAACACTTCCAAACTTATGCTGTAAGACCAACATTTCCCTGACACCCAAGTCAGACAAGGAGACTACAAGAAAAGAAAATCAATGGCATTTCAGAGATGTTGGTAAAAGGACACAAAATTTTAGTTAAATAGGTGGATTAAATTGAAAATTTCTATTGTAGAACACGGTGACTATAGTTAATAATGCTGTATCCTGTTCTTTAAAAAATAAATAAAATAGTAACAGTAAGAGGGAAAACAAACAAATAAATAAAAATGAATACTATTGTACCACAGCTTACCACAGGGAAGATGGAAAAAAAAGAAAAATTACAGGCAAATGTCCTTGATGAACATAAATGCAAATATCCTCAACAAAATGCTAGCCAACCACTTTTGATTCAACAGTACATTGTAAGTATCATAAAACATGATCTAGTGGGATTTATCCCAGGAGTGCATGGATGGCTCAACATATGTGAATCAAAATGTGATACACCACATTAACAGAATGAAGGACAAAAATTATATGATCATCTCAATAGATGCTGAAAAAGCATTTGACAAAGTTTAACACTGTTTCATGATAAAAACTTCCAACAAATTAGGTTTAAGTGGAATGTACATCAACACAATAAAGAACATACACACCAAGCCAATAGCTAACATCCTACACAATGGCAAGATGCAGAAGGTTTTTCCTCTAATTTTAGGAAAGAAAAAAGAATGCCCAGTTTCACTACTTCTATTCAACATAGGACTAGTAGTCCTAGACAAAGCAATTAGACAAGGAAAAATAAAAGGCATCCAAATTGGAAAAGAAGAAGAAAACCTGTCTCTGTTTGCAGAGACATGTTCTTATATACAAGAAACCCTAGACACTCCATCAATAAACTGTTAAAAAAATAAAAAACTCAGTCAAGTTGCAGGATACAAAATCAACATGCAAAAATCTGTTGCAATTCTGTACATTAACAATGAACTCTCCAAATCAGAAGTTAAGTAAACAATCATATTTACAAGAGCAACAAAAAGAATAAAATACTTAAGAATAAGTTTAACCAAGGAAATGAAAGGCCTGTACACTGAAAATTATAAAGTAATTTTATGAAAGAAATTGAAAACATCAAAAATAAATGGAAAAATATCCTATGTTCATTGATTGGAAGAATTAACATTGTTTAAATGGCCACAATACCCAAAGTGTTCTACAGAGTCAATACAATTGCTACCAAAATTCCAATGACATTTTTCACAGAAATAGAACAAATTCTAAAATTCAAAAAGAACCACAAAAGACTGCAAATTGTCTAAGAAATTTTATGAAAGAAGAACAAAGCTGGAGGCATCATACGTACTGATTTCAAACTATATAATGAATCTATAGTAATCAAAACAGGAAGTTGCTGGCATAAAAATACACTAATACCAGTGGAACAGAATAGAGAGCCTAGAAATAAACCTATAGACAGGGTCAACTGATCTTTGACTCAGTGTCAGGAATAAACAGTGAGGGAAACACAGTCTCTTCAATAAATGGTATTGGTAACACTGGGATATCCATATGCAGAAGATGAAATTGGATTCTTACTTTATACCATATACAAAAATCAACTCAAAATGGATTAAAGATGTAAATAAAAGACCTGTAATTATAAAAATCCTAAACAGAATAAAGGGACTAAACTCCTTGACATTGGCCTTATCAATCATTTTTTTTGGATATAATACCAAAAGTGGAGGCAACAAAAGCAAAAATAAACAAGTGGGACTGCATCAAACTAAAAAAAGCTTCCTTGCACAGCAAAAGAAACAACAAACTGAAAAGGCAACCTACAGAATAGAAAAAAAAATATTTGCAAATGATCTATTCAATAAGAAGTTAACATCCAAAATATGGAAGAAACTCATGGAACTCAACAGCAAGAAAACAAAAACCTAATGTAAAAAATGGGCAAAGGACCTGATTGCACTTTCTCCAAAGAAGACATACAAATGACCAATAGGCATACGAAATGGTGCTCAGCATTGCTAATCATCAAAGAAATGCAAATCAAAACCACAATGACATATCACCTCACAGCTGTTATGATGGCCATTATCAAAAATACAAAAGCTAACAAGTGTTAGAATGGATGTGGAGCAAGGGAAATTATTACACACAATTGATGGAATGTAAATTGGTATAGCCATTATGTAAAGCTGTATGAAGATTCCCCAAAAAATTAAAAAGAAAACTACCAATGATCCAGCAATCCCACTACTGGGGATATGTTCAAAGTAAATGAAATCAGTATGTCAGAGATATAGCTGAACTCTCACATTCTTTGCAACATTATTTCCAATAGCCAAGATATAGAAACAAGCTGTGTCCATAGATAGACAGATGAAAGCATAAAGAAATTGTGATTTATATCTATATGTTTCATATACATAATATATACATAATATGTATATATTTATAAGCATACATACACACACATAACAATGGAATTCAGCCTTTAAAAAGTAGAAAATCTTGCTATTAGTGACAACATAGAAGAAACTGAAGGACATTATGCTAAATAAACAAGTCAGTCACAAAAAGACAAATATTGCATGATATCACTTATAGGTGGAATCCAAAAAACTTATGAACTTACTGAAAGGGAGTACAATGATGGCTGCCAGTATTTAAAATCATAATTAAAATAATTTTACTGTGTTTTGTTTAAGATTGTAATTTAAAGTTTATTATAGTCTTATAAATAAACACATATATTAATACTTCTATGCTTTAATGTAACATATTCCTTAGGCATAATATAATGAGTTTAATAAAGAGGAGAAATTAGGACCATGTATCTTGTCCATCTCAATTATTTTCCACACTGTATTATTTTGAGAGAGTGGAGTATTTCAACCTCGTTACACAAATTTTGATTTCGCTTCAGAAGAGTAAGTTCTCAAAAAAACCCAATGTAGAAAGTTAATTCCTAGCCATTAAGTATTCAAGAACATTCTCAAATAACTATGTAATGATTTTTTCAAAATTATATAAACAAGAAATAAAGGACAGGAAGCAATTTAAAATATAATCATGTCAATTTTAATAACTAATTAGTAAGTTCTATAGATGAACCCTTTTCCATTTCAATCATAACTGAATAAATGAAGTGAAATTTGATAAATATTTCTCTATGAATTTTAGGAAATAAAATTATACATCCTCAACGTTAAAATTTTAAAAACAAATATTTATGGCATTTTTCTGACTGTATCATCTTCTAAATCACTATACAATGAAGAAGTAAATTTCTCAAATTAATTCTCAAACATGTACTGAATAGTAATTTATACTCATATTTCTTGAACAGTTGAATAATTACCATAATTTAAGTGTTACATCAACCTTAAAAATAAAAAGAAAAAATTTTTCCAGTAAACATATTATTTTTAAAATCACTCATTCTTTCCACGAATCACATAGAAATTGATATAAATAAAACCTGCAAACATTTCTAGTTACAGAGCATATGCTGTAATTTACTAATATATAGGGAAGGGATGATCTGAAAATCTTTAGAAGATTTTTAAAACATAAAAGCCATGAACAAGGATTGATATATATAAGCTATTCAAATAACTAATGTAAATTCAATCTAATCAATCAGTTGTAAAGGAATGAACAAATCCCAACATCCCAATAGATAGGTTTTCTTTCATGAAAACATAAATTAAGAACACAAACCTTGACTACAAGATAGAAAGAATATTCCAATTCTTTCCTAGCAGTAAATCTGAAGTCTTTAGTAGCCTACCTCTAACCATAACAAAAATGAAAAGTAAAACACATATATAGTATAGATTAGGAAATTAAAGATGAGAGGTAATTACTTAAAGAGGTAACTTAAATACTGCTAACTCAAAATCTTTAATGAAAGATCAGATTATTTTCAGAATATGCTAAAGTAAAAAGAAGATTACTCAAACACAGAAAATAATTTCAAGTGGCGTTATATGAGAACAGTATTTATTTAACCCTCAAAGTATAGAATTAATCACAAAATCAAAATATTTCAGTTGGATGCACAGCTTAGTATATAATAATCATTGAAAATTTTAAGTATAGAGTTTGTTGGTTCCATGAGGGTTTTTACGGAGAAATTCATCATCACAGACATTCACAGACCTTTATTCATCAAAGGTCAATACATGTTTTTGTATTAGTCAAGAAATATATATATATCATCACTTTGGACAAAATCATCATTCTTTTCTTAATGATATAATGGTCAGTAGAAGTAAATACTCTTAACACTTACCTGTATTTTAATAGGCCAGGAAAAGTTGCTGACGTACACATAGAATGTAATGTTAGGATTGCTTCTAAAGTTAAATTTTTCATAGGAAAAACTATCTCTGTATTCCTTTATATTATTCTTGGAAACTATAGGAGTCTCTTCCCCAGATATTGTTCCAGCTAAAATGTAAATAATTTAAATAATTAATATTAGGAAATATCTTTATGAATTTAAAAATGCATATTATACTTAGTTTTTATAATTGCTCTTATAAAAATACAATTATCAAAATATACTCAGGCTTATAATTTTGAATTAAAGAAAATAGGTTTGCCATAAATATAATGGAAATAAATTTAGTAGAAAAATTATTTTTAAAAATGCTACCACTGATTAAGTGCAATGTACTAGGCACTGGCTTAGAGACTTTATATTCTTTTTTAAAACCAATAATATCCCAGAAGTATCATCACCTCCATTTTTCAGATTTCAACCTGAGCCTCAGAAAGATTAAAGCACTTGCCCCAAGTTTATAGCTACTAAGCAGTAAACTCCTCTTTGGAACTCAGGTATATGTGGCTCTAGAAGCTGAGCTCATTCTGTTTACAATGCTACAGAGCATTTCAAAAGAAATCAGACCATATTTTCATGTGTCTCAATCCAATTTAAAAATGGGGAAAAAATCAATTTATTTGTCTTACCACAAATTGAACCATCACTGCTTTAAATAAATTGGGTGGAGGCCATAATTTAAAACATGAGCTAAATGCTCAATTAGTTAAACACATATTGAGTGCTCAGTAAATATTTACTGAAGTTAGTAAAATAGAACAAAGCATTTCCAACAATCTTAGCAAACTTTCACCTTAATGAATAGTAAAAATAAGTAGAATTAGTATACTGCGTAATTGAATTAACTAACCACTTATTACATAATCACCTTGTGTGCTTTTATAAAATGCAGATTCCGTGACTTCATCTCCAAATCTGATAAATAAAAATTTCTGAGATTTGGACTGGGAATCTGAAAGAACATGTGATTTCTTGCATACTAAAATTATTGTTCTAAAGTGATTAGAAATGTATTATAGACATTTTTGTAGACACATTTTTAAACCCTTATAGTTTTTTACTGGTCAGAAATAACTTTCAAATTAACAGGACAGGTTATTATGAATTTTTTCCTGAATGAAACCTATAGTGCCAACATTTTACTATATGTTTGGCACTAATAGTAACAAAATGCCTATTTGCCTGAATTTTCATTTTTTGAATGTAATATATAAATTCTGGAATTGCAAAAGATCTCTTAATTCTTGAATTAATATTCTACATATTCAAATATAATATTCTACATATTAAAATAGCATAATGACTTAATTTTCAGAAGTCAAATATAAATTTCTAAGAATCTCTAAATTCTCTATAAAAAGGAAACAATTTCCAGCACATCTATGCAACAGTATACCTTTGATACAGAAAATAGATGCCAATAAAATTTTTAGAATAAAAGTAAAAATAAAATTAAGGTAAGAATACATTTCATAATTCAACATAAAAATTTGAACAGCTTCTCAGATATACTTTTTAAGCCAGTAATTTAAATTTACTAGCCTTATTATGAAACACATATTATGTATCAGTTTTTTAACTCCTCTGAGCACTGAAGCTGACAAGAGGGATTATATTTTCTAAGCTTGACAATAATAGATGTTTACTTTAATCAGTATGTACAGAAGAATTTCATTGTTTTATATAAATATTAAGGTTAATAATTAAAATTTATAGCTTCAGTAGCAAATCAAACAATTGAAATTTCAGTCTCTTTAGTCATTAAAGAAACAATTTATCTAAATTAAAATCACATTTTATAACACTGCCATTTAAAAATTTAATTTAGTGTCTAGTATTTGTTACCAATCTAATTTTAATTGAATAAAGGAGAAAGTTAACAAAATAATGAAGCTCTATTCATTTTTCTACTTATTATTTTTATCAGTAACAGCAAAATAATTACGGCATATAATATTTTTTAAATTTCATTTATTTAATTAACAGTAGATCATGTTAGAACAACTTCCAGATAGGAACACATGTAAAAGAGATATGACATCAACATTTTTTTACCTGTTGAACCGACAGACCACGTAATGTTGAGATTAAAGTTGTTTGATGCATTAATTGATATATCCAGATTTTTGTTCGACTACCAGAAAAGAAAATATTAACGTTAAAAAATAAAAATTACACTCTGATTTAATTACGGCTGCTTTATTCCTTAAACTCTATACATTTTGCAAATATTCAACTGAATATATGTAGATGTCATTTATACATTTTAATGAAGAAAATGTGTAATAAATTCAAAGGTAGATATCAAGTTCCACATTTATCTTCTCTATTGTAATTTGGTCTTTTGTATGTAAGCCAGAGGCTCCTATAATTTAATATTTTTATTTGGATCTTCTTTAATTAGTTGTAGACTAAGCTTAGTTTAAATTTGATATTTGTATTTTGATTCTTTTTGCAAGGTTTAAATGATACAGGTTTGGATTAGTCCCAAGCAATTTTATAACAATGTAAGATTATTTTGTGGAAAGACTTCTTCTTAGGTGTATATTTTTATTATTACACCCATATTTTCAAGTGGGAAAAACTACATAAACTAAAACTTCCAGGTAAAAATGATGAACCTATTCCAAAAAAAAAAAAAAAACCAGCAGATCATATTGTTTACACAGTTATACAACAGAAACATTGAGTATTTAATTTTATGTCAGTCAACCCACTTCTTGTCATTCATTAATGGAGTACAGACTCTTTCCATTTAATTTCAGGGAAATATGCCTAAGAGATTTCTTTAAATGTTATTTGTGATTTTCAAATAGTTTCAATAGTTGTATATTTACAACTATTTGTTCCTGTGGAAAGGCAAAGAATGACGGTCACAATGGGTAAGTTTAGCTTCAGATACTGAGTGTATTATGCTTATTTTAAATATTCTCTACAAAGACTTGTAGAAAAATCTATACTGCTAAGATCTAGCTAGTGAAATGCAGTAAGAGAGATAGAGAATATATTAATTCCTTAGTTTTACCATTTTTCTAAATATGATAAAGCAGTTAAGCTAATAGAAAATATATTACCAATTTTCTGAGTGGCTCCTAGGAGAAAGTAAATATGGAAGCAACTAAATTCCCCTTTTCTGATATAACAGTCTTAGGGGGAAACTGACAAGGAAATGGCCTTTCCCTGATGAATAGCAGGAGAAATAAGGAACATCATAAAAAGCAAAGGCTGCTGGATGATGTGTGATGGCCATTCCATTTGACAGACATATAAGCCCCAATCTTATACCTCCAAATAACATCTACTCTTAATGATTTCCCTACATGGAAGAACAGCTTAGTCTCTATGAAGAACTCTTAACAGTGTTCCATATCCATCAAATGATATTGTCACAGTTTCCAGGAGGCAAATAAGATTTCAAGAAGAATGATCATCTTGAAAGAGCATGTAAAATAAAATTTGTTATAATAAGGTTGAGTGATTGTCATGCATTTTTTTAGAGTAGTACACAGTAATATTGTGGAGAAAGCATTTGAGAATTTGAAGTAGTCAAAGAAAACTAAAACCTTCGATTTTAAATACATAGAGTAAATCAGAAGGTTATTACATTAGGCATCATAGTGATATTCAAAAAGGCCATGAATATAAGAAGGAAGTTAACTTCCTTCTTATTTTCTATTGATTATCAAATAATACTGAATTCTATTGACAAGCTGTTAAGAATCCTTCTGCAGTACATGCCACAAAACTGTCAAATATATTGAGATCTTCCTATTTCTTTTAAGATATAAGTGAACACAGAGTTGGCATAAATTAAATGGAAGGCCAGAAAAAAAACTGAGTAACTCTTTGACTGTAGCAATAAATGCAGAATGCTTTTATATCAGCATGCAGATAGGGACTATTCAATACATTATATTGTTCAGTTGTGGTATACAAAATATACTTCCAAATATACACAATGTATTCCTAAGGAAAATCTGGATATTAAAGGCAGATATCTGGTAGCAAATGTTGATTTATGTCATCATAATAAACAAACCATACTTGAATCCAACAACGGTTTCATATACAGTAAATCATTTTCATGAAGCAATGAAAAGAATTAGTGAAGAGTCAGATAACCTTAGATTGAAATAGTAGGTCTTTAACGTACAGACTGATTGATTAGGGGGAAATTACTTTTCCTTTCCAAAAATCACTTTTCTAATCTCTAAAATGGGGATGTAATTACTTCCCTCAAGAAGTTCATGTGAGCATTAAATGAAGTAATTTCTGGAAAAAAACTTTGGTTTCAGCCCATAGTGCTTATAATTACAGTGTTGCTGTCATTATTAGGTATACTACAGGGTATATTCTTTTTCTTCTTTTTCTTCATCTTCATCTTCACTCAGAGGATTGGGAACTCAAAAAAAGGACATGGTCTGAGGAGTGGATTTGTTTTTTACTACGAATGAAATGGATCCAAAAAGTCACTTTTTAATGAAAGTAAAGCATGGTGAAAACAGTATATCCTTGAGGAGGCTTAAATCTTTATTTTGTCTTGAAATTGCCTCTTCTTAATCATGTGTACCTTATGCGGGATGAGATTAATATGAGCATAACTGTTGTTGCTAAAACGTCACACAAAATTTCCAATTGATATAAAAAAACTATAAAACTCTTTTTAAACTTCTAGTTCATTCTCTATCAATTCCAAGTTTAGGTAATGCTGAATTATATGGTACCATAACTAAAGCCATATAAAAAGCATTTAGGGTTTAAAAAGCTGTGAGTGACACTGGAGTTATTCCAGTAAGTGATAAAATCAGTGATTTAGAACATTGTTTGTTAGATATGGATAAGTTTGGCAAATACTGTTATACAGAAACCTGTTCAGAAATTGTTCACATGAAAGCACTGGCTAGAAGTGATGGATAGTGAGTTAAAATTAAATCTATTTTTCAAAATGTAGGAAATGTATAAGTAGTTAAGGTATCTACTTTTTATTGTTATTTTCTTATAGAATAAGCCTTGCCCAATAATACATAATAATTTCAGAGATTATTCCCATGTGAATATATCTTTAATTAAAGAGGGTTACACAAAACGACACTATAAGCATTCTTAGTGATGCCTCTCATGACAGTTTTGCATCCTTAAGCTTCACAGAACACTTTTCTGGTTTCTTGACTTCAAGTGGACAAGATAGTAGAAAGTAAAACAAAGCTGGGACATTGGAAAGCACTTGGGATTGCTAGAAATTGAAGGAGAAATTGAAGGAGAAAAAGAGGAGCAAACTAGAATTGTGGCTAATCTGGACATAAGTGTATGACACTATGGACAGTACTGTGGAGGAATATTATTCACTCTCAAATTGTGAGTCAGACATACCTCTTACATTAAATTTCGTAGATCTTCAAAGAACCTCACAGGTTTGGAATTACTATTAAATAATCAAGAAGCCAAAGGTAAAGAATGACCTCTGACACCTGCTGTAACATGGATGAACCTTGGAAACACTATGCTAAGTGAAATAAGCCAGATACAAAAGGACAAATGATTACACTTATATGAAGTGCATAGTGTGAGTCAATTCATAAAGGCAGAGAGTAGAATAAAGATACCAGGGGCTGCAAAGAAGTGTGGAATGAGGCATTATTGCTTAATAAACACAGAGTTTCTGTTAGGGATAATGAAAATGTGGATGATGGTGATGATTGCACCACACTATAAATATACTTAATGCCATTGAATTATATACCTGAAATTATTAAAATAAATTTTATTTTATGGCTATTTTACTATAATAAAAAGTCAATGGCAATTATAATGCAAGTATAAGAACTTTATCACATTGATAAATGTAGTTTCTGAGATTATTAATGTATCTATATATAAACAGATAATCAGTGAAGGACGGCTTTATCTGAAACAAAATATGTTTTAAATTCTTATTTAAAAGTCAAAACTTTAAATGTATTTCCCAAGAATATAGTCATTCTTAAACTCTAGGGAATAAAGAGTAACATAAAATGTAAAATAAACTGTTCTTTTTTTTTGGTGATGGGGGAGGCAGAATGCTATTTTACTGGAAAAGAAAAATTTAAGAAATTATATTAGTTGTCAGCAAGTCCAATGAACTACACTAAAAGGAAAGAAGCTGGAAAATGTCAAGGTAATAATATATTTAGAGGTTCCACCTACTTGAAAAAACATTAAATATATGATATGGATTTAACAATATGGATTAATTTATAAAAATAATTATATATATATTTAACATAACTTCATTTCAAATGTATGAATGTTAGTTTTAAAAGAACTAAAATTCAACCCAAATAAACCCTATGTTTGATATTTCCATTCTCAGGATTTTCAACTTAATAAAGTCTCAGATGGATAGCAAAATATGTGTGTTATTTCAAGACAACCTAGGAGTCTTTACCTGAATTGATGGATTGAAATTAAAATTCACAATTAATCTTTCATATATTTAAATTTCAAAAGCTTATACAATGATATCAATGATGTCATTTCATTAAAGAAGCCATCATTCATATAACTCAGACAACTACTGACTTAAAAAAAGGACAATGAAAACCTATTACTATGGAATGGTATAAAGGAAAGGAAAATATATTTAATATAGTATGCTTTGAATTCATTAGTTTTATTTATTTATTTATTTATTTATTTATTTATTGAGATGGAGTCTCACTCTGTCGTCAGGCTGGAGTGCAGTGGTATGATCTCAGCTCACTGCAACCTCCGCCTCCTGGGTTCAAACAAATCTCCTGCCTCAGCCTCCTGAGTAGCTACGACTACAGGCGCACGCCATCATGCCCACCTAATTTTTGTATTTTTAGTAGAGACGGGGATTCACTACATTGGCCAGGATGGTCTCGATCTCTGGGCCCCATGATCCGCCCACCTCAGCCTCCCAAAGTGCTGGGATTACAGGCGTGAGCCACCGCACCTGACTGAGATTTATTTTTAAATAAGAATAGTCTGTGTTTGCATAATTATAGGCATAAATTTTGTTACAAGAATATATAAAGGGAGAAATTATATATAATTTAAAATATAGGGCTATTTGCAAAATCTGAAATATCAAAATCACAAATTATTGAATCACGAAGACAGAAAAAATTAACAGGATTAGTAGTTTCTACAAAGTCCCTACAATGTGATAATTCTGAGAAGAGGTAAAATCACAATGAAATATGAAAAAAAAAAGTTGTATCCATTGACACTAGGCTAATCATACTTTAAAAGATAACAATCTGTCCTCACCTGTTCTGGGTTTGCTATAAAGTTTATGGCAGTATGGTGGCGATCATCTTCCTGTAATAAGCTGAAGGTAAACTGATAATCAATCAAAAGGCTGTCTGTAGGGAGGAAAAAAAGTACAATCCTGATATGTACTTTAAAAACCGTCTAAAAAGCAAAATTTAGGTTACAATATATTGTACACTGATATTAAAAAATGATTATCGTTAAATACTAGTGGTATATTTAAGTATAACAAAATACAAATCTTCGTCCTCAATCAACAAAAAGCAAAACATAGTTATGGAAGAAGTAAGAATTATATTTATTATTTCTGATGCTATTATAAAGTTAAAACAAACATTATAGACATTCTGGAAACTATACAAAAGAGAATAAAATAAAAATTATCTATAATTTTATAACTAGAGGGAAATACAGTTAACATTTTGGTACATTTTATTCCAGTTAGAATTCTGTAGCCATAAAGATAGACATTTTCATAAAACTTCATAACTTTCATAAACTCAAAATTCTTTGAAAACATGAAGTTTGATAGCTAAATAATATTTATCATATACTGTAATGTATTTACTTGTTTTTCAATTGTGTTCACTTCTACTTTTAGTAATTTTTAAATGATTCTCTGATAAACATCATTTTACAGATATGACATTTATTCACAATGATACAAGGAATTCTGGGAAAAGATATTCTTAATTTTGTCCACACATAATGCTGAAACCAAGGTGAAACATTTAAATGTTATAGGACATGAGTGGCTATGCATATTACATGAGGGCGACGTATTGCTAATAACATTAAACTGCTACATTTATAAAAATTATTTCAAATTATTTTAAGTAAATATAGATTACTTCTATCTTTTGGATACATACCTTTCATATTATACCCTTAACCATTAAAAAGTATTAATACTGAATATACAGATTGAATTACATTAAATGAATTTATTTTTAAAACTATTAAGGCATTATTCATATGCTTACTTGTATACTTTATAAGATTCACCCTATATATTTATTGTATAATTCAGTGTAAGGCAACATTTTGTCTAAGAATTTATAGGTGTCCTTATACCTGATAATGAGAATTATGCAATAGGTCATAGTTCCAATTTTCATCTGACTGCCAAAAAATTGCAGAGGAAAATTCAATGTGCCAGCGTTCTAGGCACTGCAGATACAATAAAAAAATAAAAATTTCTGTCCTCTTGCAACTTATACTCTACTGAATGAACATCAGTCTTTTGGAGAAGAATAAACTAGTAAAGAGGAGGGAGATACTGTTAGGTAGGAATATGCCTCCAGCTTTGAGAAGAAACATTTAGAGAATTGAGATAGTAAATGAATATGGAGTTTACCAGAAAAAAAAATTCCAGGCACAGAGGACAAGTACAAAAACCTCAAATGAAGAGCAAGCCTTAACTGTGATTCTCATAAAGGCTGTGCCAGTAATACAGGCAGGAAGTAATGGAGGCCAGGGTAACAGCAGTGAAGGTCACAGGAAATTGTTAAATACAGGGAATGCATTTTTAAGATACAGCAAACAGGATTAGCTAAATAAAAGAACGTAGCCTTTGTAAGAAAGAAAGGCGAAGTTTTTTTTTTTTAATTTTTTTCCTAAGACCAAGCAAAAATCACCATTAACTTAAACGGAGAATAGTTTGACTGCGATGGAACTTGGGGGAATAATTAGGAGCTTAATTTTAAAGATATTCCTGTCTTTTTTTAAGGAATTTTAAAGATATTCCTGTCTAGGATATTCCTGTCTAGGAGCTTAATTTTAAAGATATTCCTGACTGTCTGTCCATCAGTGACAGACTGGATTAAGAAAATGTGGCACATATACACCATGGAATACTATGCAGCCATAAAAAAGGATGAGTTTGTGTCCTTTGTAGGGACATGGATGCAGCTGGAAACCA